GAGTCTATTCTGTATAATACAGTTGACTGCAACTAACCATGCCCAGTCTTTATAACTGCTGCTATTCATTTGTGATCGCTTTGCTCACATTTAGGCATAAAATATGAAATACCTTGTTACAAATAGTACCAAATTTTCCACTAATCTATTCTAGCTTCTGTGTTTAATAATTTTAAATTTTAGATGTCTCTTTTAAACCATTTACTTACCTTGGTACAATTTTCTGAACTGCAGCATCCAAGCAATTCATGTGAATGGTTACAATCTAAATTATGTAAGGTGTAAATACCTATCAGATCTACCTCATCAAGGAACTTGGTTGTAATTCTTGGGCAGTTCCCAGACTCCCTTACGGAAACAGAATGCTTTTTCTTTTTGCTGTCTTTGAACTTCTTCTCAAACTAATTCAGGACTAGTTTCTAATTTCCCTTTTTGCTGTGGTATGTGATGTCACTTCAATTGGAATTAAGAATTAAGGTAGAAGTAGCAGCGGAGGTCTCAAATTCTCCCAAATTCGTCCCTTTGATTATGCTCGTTTCAGAGTCCTGCCACTAGGGCCATGTGCTCTGTCAAACTTGTGAGGATTCTGTTGGTGTTACAAAAAAATACTTCTGTTAAAAAATGAGGACTCTTTTTTATTTCCTTTGTATTATTACCCAAGTGTTTCCCTTTTTGCCCTAATATTTCATTATTTCTCTGTCATTACTCTTATTAGAGGGACAGAGGAGGAATACATCTGTTGACCATTTTGTTTCACTGGAAATCTGAGCAATGAGATCCTTGTATTTGTTAAATTGAATCATTACTCCTAGTTTAAGGACTTTCCACTTTTAAAATGTATCCAATCATCGCTTGCCATTTNAAAGCTGAAGACATTCTAGCAAGCACGGCAGCCCCTTCTTTCTCTGTAACAGAGATATCATTTATGTGGAGATCCACAGCCTTGAATAGGGACCCAAGATCATTTGTAGTTCAGTGGAACAGATATGAATTTCCAGGCAACCAAAATAACACAACTTCCTTGCTTACTTGACAAAGAAGCCATTATGAGTGTGGTCTGAGGGCCCTGACAGTGTTGCTGATGTTAGTATGTGATTTTAAAAGGTTAGAACCCCTTCTAAATGAATGGTCCATCGAAGGTTTTGACAGGATCTTATCTGATGTCTGTTAGGACCAGGATAGAAAATTTTCCCATGTCTATGTGCCTCATAGGCTGTTCGGGCATTAATTTTTCTTTGTGAGCCTTAAATGTGCTTGTAGGATAGAGAAACTGTGATTCGGATTGGAGACCTGGGTTTGTCTGGTTTCAGGTCACTGTCCTTTAGGCCTATTTTCAAAAGTCCTTATGATACAGGAAGATTCAGAGGAGTTCCTTTATTTCACAGCTACGCTCAGCATGCAGTTTGGGAAGGGATGTATTTGGGTTGTTTTTAAAGAAGGAAAGAACCCTATTAAGATAGTGGGCAAAGGCAATAAAACCCAAGCTCTTATTTATTATTGTTTTTCTGAGGAATAGAAATTTTCTCAGTTTGACTCTTGGAATGTGTGGAAAAGAAGCAAATTCTGAACTTTGGAATACATAGAAATAATAAACCTGTTAATAAGCCACCTGGCAACTGTCAGAACCTTTGTTAAGAGATGGCTCTGCCACAAACAGCATTTCCGTTACTGAGGAGAGAGGAAAAGCCATAATAATTACACTTTCACCCA